CAGAAGACTGGAAATCAACCGTTGGCTCTATAATGATACCACTACAAATGAGATCACTAAATCTCAACTTGGAGGGGGAGTAAAATTCTTAACGTCATCAAAAAGTTACATTTGTTTTCAGTAATTTGTGGGGAAAAAACTTAGATAAAATTAACTAACACCTCGCAGGAAAGAATTCTCAGTTATGCTTTCACGGCTCAGACCTGATCAGAGACAGTTTCTGCCAAGTTGAGATCTCCCGCGAGAAAACATCCAAAAGTTTTGTCATTATCTACCTATTGCTCGGAAATGGTTTATTCTGCCTGCTAACCACTCACAAACTTTGATATGATAACAAAGACTAACTGCTGCTTACAAATGCTCGTTTGATATTTAACTTGCTATTTTCTATTCAGGGCAAAATAACTATCTTGAAAATAGTTTTTAATTCTCAGCCACAGTGAATAAGAGATGCCAATCAAAAGTAGCTCTCAATTTGTAATTCATCTGCTATTCATTGCTGCTTTATTAACATACCTCATTCTCCTTTCCCTTTAGGAAATAAATACTCTGAAAGCAGATAATGATGCCCTAAAGATTCAACTGAAATATGCACAGAAGAAAATAGAATCCCTCCAGCTTGAAAAAAGCAATCATGTCTTAGCTCAAATGGAGCAGAGTGACTGTTCTTAGCCCAGAAACTCAAGTAGCACAATCTGTAGATGAGTATAGTGGAGATCTCATTTCCTAAACTGTAACACACAGACCTGAGGAACTTTAGATTGACCAGCTTTAAAACAGTACTTTAAAAGGAAAAGCCTGTTATTGTTTATTTACCTAAAAGATTCCTAATGTGCAGCATTGTTTTTCAGTCAGTTGACTCAAAGGGGGAAAACTAAAGAATGCAAAACCTTTGCTATTCACACCACTGACGTTCACCAAAGTATGCGATCTAAAAGTATGCGATCTAAAACACGACTGTCGCTTTCTTACAAAGGGGCATCTCAGTGGCCTGCCTGGCTGATTCGTCCTTAAAACTAAAATCTCTGGAAAATGTATTTGCTTCTTACCCTGTGTTTTCTGCAAACTGACTTATTTTGTTCCAGCCAAAGCTTGCTAATAATAGAAAACTACCCATATTCCAAAAGTAGATTTCCTCTGTATCCCAGCATACTTTGTGAACCTGGCTCCTTCTTTACTACCTCAGATCTAATCAACTAGCCTATGTACCCTCCTTCCTCACTACAGTCATAACACACGAGCATATCTACCTAGAAGCGAATTTCTACCGATGTAGCCACAATTTTTTAGAGGCCTATTAAACATGACAGCATCCAATTGCAGGTCAACTCATAGTTGTAGCCTTGCAACTTAACAGTCATCATAAAATAAGTAATCAAATTAGGTACCTGGAAACGTAGTTATTACCATCTCATATTACTGTCTAATTAAAATAAACCTAACGCAAACATGTTTGTCCTTATATATTCTACAGTGGATAGAATTAGGAATTGATGGCTTTAAAAAAAAAAAATCTATGAAGAGTCTGTTTAACTCTTCATGTTCCATCTTCATCTCTGAAGTAAACTATTTTGAAAGTCCTCTTTTTTAACTGAATTTGTGCTTAACTGTCTTCACTATTAATACTATTTAGAAATAAGCTAATTGGATCAGTGGCTTAAATAACAGCTGACTGTGTGTACATATGTATATAATATGTATATACAATATCAGGCATGCATGTGGCTTGGAATTTTGTTTCCTCCCTAAAATGTGGAAGTGAATAAAACAAGTTTTAGTCATTTATACAAAGTCACAAATATAAAGTTCAGTTTGTCACAAGATGAAATTGCTCACAAGGTAAAATTGTATTGTTTGGCAAAATCACAAGTAACAATCCTGTGAGTTTTCTATTATGCAGGTTAATAATAAATGGGCTCATTTAGTTGCCTGGGCAACTATTCACAAATTCATTTGTCAGCCTCTTTTTAGTTCTCTTAAAAAAAAAAAAACAACATATGATCATTTTCCTTTTTGGGGGTACTTAGCTTCCATGCCTATTAAGTCTGCTACTAGACTGACTTGAAATTCATAAACAAGTTGTCCAATTGCCAAGAATATGTTAACAATTAAAAGTTCCAAACCTAAAGCCAATAGCACCAAGTCTTCATAAGAATACGAAGTATATATACAGTATTGCTTACCTGGAGGATTCAGATCATTTAGGAATTCTCTTTGATGAAAGGCCAGTTCCCATTTGCATTCCTCCTTGCACTGAATTTTAGTAATGTAGAACTAGCTTGTAGTTAGTGTTTCATTATATTATAAAGAATCATTTTATACACATATTTACCCTTTTCCAAATTTAAACTCAGAAATACCCAAAGCAGGCCTGCTTAGGCCCACTACCTGGCATATAAAATTAATAGTAACACTTTGTTATTTGCTTTTTATAGGACAAACATGAGTTAGGACAAACTCTAAAATTCATATTCTGCACTGTTCTTCTTTTCCTTTTATATAGACCAAAGACGGTATACTCCAATTTTTTAAAACAGTCAAGGAACACAATTTTTTTCATTCTTCCTACTCTGCATTCAAAATAAAGATCCCCAGTTTTTATATAAATAATCTATAGGGATTCAAAAGGTCGCAGTCCCCTTAATTAGTCAAATTAGCAATGGCTAAACAGTATCCAGTACTGCAGAATTTATCACTGAAATGGATAAGAGGAAACAGTTTCATGACAGGTTTTTACAGTCCAGCAAGGGGCAACGAGGTATAGTATACAAGTTAATAGTATTTGCGTTGAGCAACATGGGGCTAGAGGGATCACAGAAATAATAAGAAAATAAAAGCAAGGTTTTGGCTTATCAAGCCGAGTGCACATTTTTGCATCTCACACGACTTTAGTTTGGCCAGGTATTTATCTGCCAAAACAAGGACAAATCTTGTTTTATTAACAGCAGGATCACTTCTCTTTTTCTTTGCTGACTCACCTTTTTACTGACCCGTTGTGAATTTCTGTCTAAAAATGTATAATATAGAACTGCAAGAAAAAAACAAATGTACAGATTGTAAAGTTTTTTGATACCTAATGTAAGTTTTCTTTGTGTAATATTTATATGATAAAAGACATTAGGATCCCTACAACATAAATGTCTTGTGTTTCTTCTACTTCGTGACCATGTAAACACTTTACCTGAATTTTTACTATAATCCACAGCTAACACCACTCCCCTATTCTATTAATCAAATTGAGTTTTCCTAGAAGGAAAGGCACAGCAGCTATTCAGTTTAAAATTTTCTAAATCTTTTTACAATACAAAGAAGTAACACTATAGAAATATTTGATCTCTTTCCATCTTATTCATAACTTACAGTGGTCCCCAAATATTAAGTCTATAAATACTTAACATTAAAGGAGACAGACTTGAGGTTGTCCCTTCTCTGTGGCTTTTAATTCCACAGTTTCATCTAAGCAAAATAGCAAGTAAAGAAGAGATCCTTTGAAGCTATGTATAAAATTGGTAACGACAGCTCAATCCAGGTTACAGACCTACTCAGGGCAATTTATTTGTGGTCATGATTATTTAGAATGATCAGACATAACCACAATTTTCCCTTAATCGCCAGCTAATTTTTGTTTAACCAAACCAATGGAGAGAGAGGAAACATTTCAGTCAAATTCCTCTGTGGAATGCATTCTGGAACATTTAGATGGGTGTGTATTTATCATTTGGGCAATTCATAATACTTCATACAAAATAATGAAGTCACACTGACTGCCTGATCCTGAAGGCGAGATTAAACTGCCTGCTCACCTTCCCCATTTTCATCCCCACATTTCTCTCACCTGTGCTCCTTCCAAGGTATAGATAGTATCACTGCTCAGGACATTTTTCTGGTCACAAATTTTTTTTAGGTTGTCATGCCGCCTCTTGTCACAAATACAGGTAATAAGATGTTTTTTATTTAAAGTGTTTTCCTTTTTCTGTTTAATGAGGCAAGGTTTCCCTGATCTGCAGAACAAAAGTAAGTTCAAAGAAAACCCTTGTTTCCCTTTGGATGCGTGCTTATGAGTAATAGTGTGGTGACTATGTATAGACAGAATACAAGCTCTTTATATGGTCCAAAGGAAAGATGACTACTTTAGGCAGAAATTCCCAGTAAGATCATGTCTATATGTGCTATTAGATACCAGGCTGGACAAAAAGAGAAGAAAAAGGGGAAGGACAATGAGGTAATTAAAAAATGAAATTGAGAACCAGGCAAACAAGAATGAAAAGGAGATATCAAAAAAAGTGTTAGATTTTAGGAAGCAGTAGTGTGCCATTCATCATACTCCATGGTGTATTGCACTCAATTTATAAAATATTTTCACACTATGGCCTTTCACATTAAGGCCCCAGATCTCTTTCCTGCTATTCTAGATACTGCTCAGCAAACTGTTCTACAAAAGAAGTTTTTACTGAACAAAGATTATCAGGAAAATCCCACTTTACAGGAGAAAGAGTAAAATATTAGAGTCTACCTGATCCAGCTTTTCATTCAATTAAGGTTTATAGGATGTGTACATAGGAGTGGTTTCAGCTCCAACATGATTCCAGGAGCAAGTGCTAAACTTTGATAGGAAATAAGTGATTGCAGTGAATAACGCAAGCAGCGCTCCTATAAAGGTACAAAGAAATCTTAACGGAAAATCTAATGAAACTGATGAACTGTTGTTTCTGCCATATTTATCATAAACCTTTAGTGGTAAAAAAGTTGAAAGTAGTTGTAAATCTCTTTCATCAGCAACTAATGCTACCAAAAAAGAAATGAGGCAGAAAGTAAAGGTTTTAAATGAAGATTTTTAAATAACTTTTGAAATATTTTACTCAAATATTTTCTGAAAATTTTTTAAAAATTATTTTTCAGAGTTCATAACTACTGATAAAGGTATTTTCTTAATTATGGAAAGTCTTTTTTCAGCTATCACAAATGAAATTATATCTTTTCATTAAATATACACACACAAAAAATAACCAAAAAATTTTATATTTTCCTACCTTAAACACATTTCTTCAGAGGGTTAGCTTGAAAAATACATGTCTAAGATTACAGAATATTCAATAGTTACTTTTAAGGTTTTAACATTATTTTAGATTTTACCACAGAGTTTACCAAAAAAAATAACAACAAAAAAACTTGCTAAACATCAAATACCACTTGTCCACTGGGAACAATTCAGCTTTCTATCAGTTGAGTTGGTTGGATCACATTAAGTTGTTATGCACAGGTATTGACCAGAAGCCTACAATGCGATACAGATTTTACACTGAGATTGAAAAAATTTACGGGACCAGCTCTTTTTCTCTAACTCTCTACACTAAGAGAAAAATACATTACTTGCCCTACATCTTAAGGCATTCAAATAGGCCCTCTATACGTTTTTAACAAATTGTATTTGTACTTAGGTCTTTATGAAACAACCCGAGATGACGCTAAGTGTCTCATTCCTCATTTGACAAATGAGGACAAATCACTCCTTGAGAACTAAGGTCATTTCAATCCACAGCACCCCTGACCTAGTGCCATGATTCAGATTCACAACTCTTGATAGCTAAGACATTGACTGCTCCAACTAGCAAACCACATATAGCCATTCCCTAACTTTGTGTTTCCCAAATCTAGCTGTGAATCAGAATTACCAAGGGATGCCTTAGCCCTACCCTTGATCTACTGAAGCAGGAAATTACTGCCTTAATTCTGTGTGATACAGGTCAGCCTGTCTTTTAATATTTGGATATCAAAAGTGAGAGCATATATGATGAAGAGACCAGTTTATAGGACTATTTCTCACACCATCATGTGAAGCTGGTATGTATCTTTGCTCCATTAAAGTATTTCTGACCTCAATCTTAAAACTTTGCTTTGTAAAACAAAATCATGCAGATTTCAAATCCAATTAGAAAATAAGTATGTACAGTAAAAAACTTGGGCTTCAATTAGTGAAACTTTAACAGAAACACGGCTAGAGAGGAATCTCCTCCTATAAGAGATAAAAATGATTCACAACAACTGCCTACTAAATACAACTGGAAGTGCCTTTCCCTATTTTGTAAAATCAAATGAAAAACCCACAAAACACATCCACAGCAATAAAGGTGAGGCAAGGGTCTATATTCCTTTCCATTACAGGTGGGGTCATTTATATGTCTAAACCTGAACAAAATACAGGTAACAATCTAAATTCAATCATGACAATAAAATACTTTCCATTTTCCAAGTTTGATGGTATTATTTACATTTTAAAAAATAATTTTTGTTCTTTTGTTTTTTAAAAAGACACAACATGCTCAAGGGTACATAGAATATGGAAAAAGTCTTCACTTCATTTGAGAGATCAACTGGTAGTAAAAAACAATGTTCTTACATATTAACAATTCAAGAATGGTATCACCAGGGAGTCTAACATGGTGTTTACTTCAAAGATGATATTCAAGTATGTTATTTAGAACACTATGTCTAATGTATCTATAAAGAAGCAAGCACTGCTATCTGATTTTTGTAGTTTTTAGTATCTTCTATATCCACCACCACCACCACCACCTCCTCCTCCATATGGATCTCCGTAGCCTCTTCCACCATAGCCCCCTCTTCCACCATAACCCCCTCTTCCACCATAATCTCCCCTGCCTTGGAAACCTCCTCTACCACCTCCTCCTCCTCCCCCCCACCCTCCTCCCCCTCCCCCTCCCCCACCACCTCCCCAGCCTCCTCCACCCCCCCAGCCACCTCTTCCACCCCCACCCCCACCACCTCCTCTACCACCACCTCCACCACCACCACCCCAACCACCCCTTCCACCGCCGCCTTCTTGTCTCTTTTGCCAAGGGGGCATTTCTGGGGGTGGTGGTTCAATTTCATTCGGCCGGCCTCCCCTGTCAGGCACCCTTCCCATCAGCACCTGTGTGAAGAAACATTTTCTTTTAGTTTCTAATATTTTAAAAGTTAAAGTTTACATAAAAGTTTCAAGTGATGTTGTTTCTAATAAACAGAAGCCAATATTTAAGGACATGAAAGTATCAGACATGGCAATACAATTGAATATTAAAAATATTAAGTGTGGGATAAGGAGAAATCTGTTCAAGGATACAAAATCACGGCTAGACAGGAGTAATAAATTCTAGTTTTCTACACCATTGTATGATGACTATAGTTAATATATAGCTTCAAATAGCTACAAGGAGGATATTGAATGTTCCCAACACAGAGATGATAAATGTTTGAGAGGGATATGCCAATTACCCCTGTCTGATCACTATACATTGTATGTATCAAAACATCACTATGTTCATACATACGTACAATTACCGTGTTTCAGTTTAAAAAATAATTTTACTTCCTGTTTACCAAGTCTGATGAAAAAAGAAAAAAAGAATTTTTAAAAAAAGGAAATATGAAAAAATATAATATATGTGATACAAGACAAATTCCTTAGAATATACATATACACATATATATATTTTTTGTTTGTTTGTTTGAGACAGAGTCTCGCTCTGTCACCCAGGCTGGAGTGCAGTGGTGTGATCTCAGCTCACTGCAAGCTCCACCTCCTGGGTTCATGCCATTCTCCTGCCTCAGCCTCCCAAGTAGCTGGGACTACAGGCGCCCGCCACCACGCCCAGCTAATTTTTTGTATTTTAGTGGAGATGGGGTTTCATTGTGTTAGCCAGGATGGTCTCGATCTCCTGACCTCGTGATCCACCCGCCTTGGCCTCCCAAAGTGCTGGGAATACAGGCGTTAGCCACCGTACCTGGCCTAGAATATATTATTTTTAAACGATCTGAGAGAGTATTTTTGAAACTTAAAGGCTTAATTTTTTCTCACTTAAATTCGTTTAGCAAATTCTGTAACAAATGTAGTACCCACTTCACTAAGAAGTTTCTTTAGGAAAACATTTTTATATATATATAACGACATACCTTACATTCATACCATTTATACAACAACAACTCTGGACTTTCCATTGCCATTGATTTGGTAATTGATTATCCAATAAAAGATTATATTCCTAAGCACATTTCATTTCAAAAATCTATGAAGTATATACAACATGGGACCTTAATGAGGTCAGAGATTGATATAAAAACTGTAATTCCAGGTATCACCGCAAAGAGAGAGAAGGATTCCCAATGAACTACTTCTTTTAAGAAACTTAAGCTCACTGACTTTCAGTGATGATAATGCCATGTTATTATAAGGAAAACACAGTTGATATAATTCCTTTACTATGCTTTATAATCCTTTCAAAAATACACTACGGAAGAGTTTAAGTATCCAACCTTCTGTAGAAAGCAGCAGCTTTATATGCCATGAGCAGAGGAAAGACAGCAATAAGAAGGGTGTCATCTGCTCACCACAGACAAGGGGAAGCCAATGGCTTCCTGCTACTGCCTTTCAGGAAGGAAAGTAAAACAGCAACTGCCTCAACCAAAATGACCAGCTAATTATACACTTCCATTGATCCTCTAAATCAAAATCAAGTTTAGGATTTATGTCACAAATGAAAGATAAAAAGTGCAATATCCTCAATGTGAGACAAGGTTCTAAGTATGCAACATTCTTTTAAAGATGGCAATGATGTCCTAATTACCAAATCCAAAAAACAGCCTTTCCTGGTTATTATTCTCACTGGTCTCTCTACCAAACATGGTATGTTGGTGGGCATATGGAGATGCCAGAACTGATCATAAGACTACCCTCAAATAATGAGACCATAAATTATAAACTCAGAAGAGATGGCCAATGTTGCTTACAGAAATAGAACTCTTGATCCAGCAAGACTAAATTATAACCCAATGCAAAATGTTAGGTAATATATTTAAAGAGAGAACACTTTCAGAAGATAGGATTGAGCCACAGTGGAAGCACAGAGGCAAACACTGGTGATGCCTAATTTAGCGATAATTAGAAAAATGACTTTAAAAACAACCATCCTTCTGAAAAGGTATTTTATCTCAAGTTACACTGAGTGAGAAGCGATGCTTTAAAATTATCCAAATCCCTTATTTCTGATTTTTTGCTCTTTTGTAATAAAGTTTGCCATGGTGTGCTCTACCTAAATGAACAAGACATGCCAGTAAAGCTGACATAAACATACTAAATTAGTTTGTTGTTATTGCTGTTGTAAAGTAAAAAATTCAGTTTCCTTGAGTTTAAGACTACTGTCAGAGAAATTGATGTATACTCCAAATCAGGAAACAGAAGCTCAAAGAGGTTCAGTAGCTTGCCCGGGTCATTTCTGTAAGTAAATGATAGAGCTAGGATGGGACCCAGATTGGTCTGACTCTAAAGCACGAACTCTTCTTTCCCTTACACCAAGGATGTAAGGAATCTGTTAGTACTTGAAACAATTACTTTTTAGAAAGCTGGAAAATAATTCTTGCTAAAGCTTTGACAAAAACAATTCGTAATTCCTCTAATTCAGATAATACTTTGATTTATGAATACACAAATTCAAGTGAATACACATACATACACAAAAATAACATAACTAAGCCTAGACTGAACCCCCCTGCCACTCTTTCTTCTAAATATTTACCAGGACATGAAAGAAAAATAGGTTAAAATTTGTAAAAACATTAAGTAGGATATTATCAGTTCATTTTCCACTGTGCTGAAAGAAACACCAACCTTATTGATGGCACATGCGGTCTTCTCCCGGCTGGTGCCACTACTTGTCCTAATGATCTTGGATAGATCTTCACGAGCAGCAAGTAGATGTGCCATTGTAACTGTTGTCTTGGGTGACAAAGCATAACGTTTAGGCTGATAAATTCTTGCTATATCATCTGTTTTTACCTAAATGACAAAAGGTAAGGAAAAAAGGAAGAAAAATACATTTTAATGAAAGAGCAAAAACAATCATAACCCTTAGAAAGAAAGAAAAAGAGATAAAGAATAAGCAAGGAATTAGAAAAGAGCAAAAACACCCACATATCTGATAATTTAGGAATAATTTAGAACATATAAAATAGACCAACAACTGTTAAAAATATGTAACTACCAGCAACAACTCACTGAAAAATAACAAAAAAAATTCTATTCATATTAACAAAAAAAAATAACTAAAAAATAGTTTTACCAAAACCACATACAGGACCTTCAAAAGGGAACATCAGTAAATCTTGCAAACAAAAGGCAAACTTGTATAAATGGTAAGAAACACCAAGTTTCTGTATTGGGACATTAAGTATTATTGTCAGTTTTCCCCAGAATTAACTTATAATCCTACAGAAATAGTTTTTGAGAGAATGAAAACAAAAAAAGAATCTAAAGTTAAATCCAGAAACTCAATATGTAAGAATAACTAAAAGCATTTTGAAAGATAATCCTACCAAATATTAATATGCTATCATACAAAATTATCATCATCTTAACAGTTAACATTTAATGAGCACTTATTAAACGTGCCAGAATGCTGTTCACTTAGTAAGGCATTATTTCTTTAATCCTCAAAATATCCTTTTAGAGTGGTTGGTTTTTATTATGCCCTTTTGCAGATAGGAAAAAAAAATGAGGCATAGAAAGCTTAAGTTAGTTCTCCAAAATATAGAGAGAATCCTAGCTCTGCCCACTTACTAACAAAGGCCCACCTGACCCGCAAGCACAGGTCTAGTATAGGTGACAGTTTGCTATCCTACCTCCATCTAATTAACTAGAACTCGGGAGAAAAAAAAAAAAAAAGGTGGATGAAATAGTATATTGAGACTCAGAGCCTCATAAATCTATGAATGCAATAAATGATAAAGGAGACATCACAGATCAACGAGAAAAGGAAAGGATTATCTTTTAAATGGTGCTGGAATGACCTGGTGGCTATCTGTAATAACAATAATATGGCACACCATATAACAAAGGGAATTCCAAAGAGAATAAAACGTTAACTGAGGTTTAATTTTAAATTTAGAAACAACTACATTACAAAAATTAAAATTTCTATACTTCAAAAGACATAAAACAACATCTACTGACAACTGGGGAAAATATTTTCAACAAATAATTCAACCAGCAAACATCCTTTATATATAAAAAGCTCCAACAAAAGGAAAACAGAATTGTACAGGAAAAAAAAATGGCAAGACATATAAATAAAAGTTTAAAAAAAAGGAAATTCAAATGACTAATAAGCTTATGAAAAAAGTTCAACTTTGTCAATAATAAGAACAGACAAAACAAGTTAGTCTTTTTAACTACCAAGTTAGCAATAAAGAGGCTAAAGTGAGACAACATTTCATTTACCTTACTGACAGGAGTTTAAATTCATATAAACTTAACTGGAAAACAATTTGGCCATGGGAAACGAGAGCATTAAGAGACATAATCTTTGACACAGTAAATTTCCTTTAGGAATCCACCATAAAATTTTACTTTGAAATTTATATATAAAAAATTATACATAGAAACATGCCTGGTATTGTTAATATAGAAAAAAAATGTATAAAATAAGAGAATTAAGTAAATTACTGATCACTGTGATAAAACATAATGCAGCCATAAGGACACTGAAAGAAATTTAGTGCTGTTATACGCTATGACATGGATGAACCTTGGAAACATTATGCTAAATCAAAGAAACCAGAAGCAGAAGCCACATATTGTATGATTCTGTTTATATGAAATGTTCAAAGGCAAATCAACAGAAACATAAAGTATAGTATAGTAATAGTTGCCAGGGCATGGAGGTAGGGAGTATTGGGAATGACTGCTGAGAGGTAGCTATGTCATTTTGGGATGATGGAAGTGTTATGGAATTACATATAGGGTTATACAACACAGTGAACAGACTAAAAACCACTGAATTGTATACTTTGGTATATTTTGGCCAGGCACAATGGCTCACTCCTGTAATCTCAGCATTTTGGGAGGCTGAAGTGGGAGGATCACTTGAGGTCAGGAGTATGAGACCAGCCTGGGCAACACGGCAAAACCCCGTCTCTATTTAAAAAAAAAAAAAAAAAAAAAAAAAAAAAATTTTAATTAGCCAGGTGTGGTGGCACACGTCTGTAGTCCCAGCTGCTTGAGAGGCTGCAGTGGGAGGATCGCTTGACCCTCCAGTGGGTTGCAGTGAGCTATGATGATGGCACTGCACTGCAGCCTGGGCAACAAGACTACACCTCAAAAATAAAAATAAAATGGTAAATTTTATGTTAATTATATTGCAAAAAAATTAAAAATTAATTTCAAAAAGGGTACTAAAATAGAGTTTTCAGAGATATTGGAAAATGGTTACAATATATTTAGTGAAAAAGCATGCTATAAAATTACAATCACAGTATTATCTCGATACTAGCTAAACAGTAAAGAAACTACATAATCTTTTGAATAAATGACTATAATCTTTTTGAAGGGCAACTGTGGAGTAAGCATCAACAGCCTTAAAATCATTTCCTTTAATCAAGGTATTTCACTTTTAGGAATACATCATGGACATGAACAAAAATTTAGCTGTCAAGGATTTTATTACAGGGTCAAAGAGGCAAAATCAGAGAAAACCTCAGTGTCTATCAATACAGTATATATATGCATATAATAAAATATTGTGCAAAGATTTAAACTGCTGTAGAACAAAGTTGGTAACGGTCACTCAACAATATCGGACACATTTTCCTATCATTAAAATAGGGAGAAAATGATAAAGATATAATAAATTTAACAAGTTTAACAACAAAACTTAGTATACAAAGACATATAATCATATAATCAATTGAAAAAAACCAAATGAAAGGTCAAAACTGATCCATACATAGCCTAAGGAAAATATATTTTTAAAAACCTTCCCAAATAAGAAAAAAACAAAAACACAACCTCCTTGTCCTAAAACATGAGGAAGAAAGACCAAGATGAGACAATAAAATATCAAGATATTTCCTAAAGGAATATTTGCTCAAAGCTCCCATTGAAGTCCAGTTAAGGGGTCAAACATGCCCATGAATCTATGTCACTGAATGTTGAAAGAATATGTCAAAACTCATTTGTTTTGGATTTCTCTGTAATCTTAATGCCAACACTGAAAATATCAAAGTACAGTAGGACAATTTTAATGCCACTACCATTCACAATTTGCCAAATATTCCTAAATTCCTTTTTCCTCAATAAAATTCTGTTAGGTTAAATGGAGACCCAACATATATACAACCTCTGTTAAGTTTCCAGAGCTCAGTAATGCCGGTGCTTCCCACACATCTGAACTCTATTCCATTTCTTGAGGTCAGCAATCATGTCATCTACTTCGTTGGTAACTTATAGTTCTTAACAGCATCTGAGCTTCTTGCACAAAGCAGTTACTCCAATGAAATACACAGACATCCCTTGGAGTTTATCCTGGTGCACATGCAGAAGTGAATCAGGCTTTAACCACCCAAGAAGCTGATTAGATATTACACACACAAATCTTCTATACCTAATCATAGGCAGTACTGAGATGTTCATCCTGAACCAGGTACATAGTACATGACATATACAAAGTGGTGAATGCTTATTAAAGAAAATGCATGAATGATGATCTTTAATAGCTCTTCTAATCACTCTTCACTTTCCTGTATCTGTCAGGTGTTTGGAAAGAGACTCTATGTAAAACACATGAGAGAGGATTTCTAGGTAAATGAGTCATACTGAAGACACTAAATTATAAAAGGTACATATATCCTAAATTATAAAAGGTACAGATAAAAAGGGAACCAACATTTCAAAACACTCAAAGTCTGTTTGTAAAACAGTCCATGCCTCCAACCCCTGGTGACACCTGCTGCTACTCCTTTCCTGGACAAATTAAAATACAGTATATAGGAAAAAAAAAAAAAATGAGGTTTCTCTTCCTGAAAAAATGAGCAACTACAAAGACCACACGTTGGCATTAAGAATTGCCACAGCACATCGGCCAGCTCCAAAGTCTGACGTTAATGATCCCTAATAATGACTGTAGTTCCCAACAGGCTTTATCGTGCTTTACTCTTTTCTTTTTAAGAGACTGTGACTCGCTATGTTGATCAGGCTGGTTTTGAACTCCTGGCCTCAAGTAATCCTCCCAGCTCAACCTCCCAAAGCGTTGAGATTATACGTGTGAGCACAGCACCTGCCCTCCCACCCCAACTGCCTTTATTATTAGAGACAGAGTCTTGCTCTGTCACCCAAGCTGTAGTGCAGTGGCATGATTATAGCTCACTGCAGCCTCAAACTCCTGGGCTCAAGTGATCCTCCCGCCCCAGCCTCCTGAGTAGCTGGGACTATAGGCACACACTACCATGGACAGCCGGTGCTTTACTCTTAAATATGGACAACCAAAAACTACTATGCAGCTGAAGAAGCCCCCAACATGAGAGAGACCAAGAAAAACAACTAAATAAACAAAAAATTATGCTGGAGGAAACAGATAATTGAAAGTAGAAAAAAAAAATTACAAAGGCAAAGTTTCTTTACTCAAGATGATAGTATACCAAAAAATATTTTTAAAAAATCAAGAAACAAAAAGAATTTAAGGAAATTTTTAAAATAATTGCAGAAACAAAAATTCAACACCAACTATAAAATAAAGTTAAAAACATTTCTGAGAGTGAATCAAAAAAGGGAAAGAGAGGGAAAATGAGAGGAAAAAATAAAACAACTTAAGTGGGTCTATCTAGAATGTTTAATATCTGACTAAAGCATTTCAGAAAGAGAATAAAGAAAACAAAAGGGAAAAATAAATAAAGGAAAATATAAACGCTGAAAGAGTCTACATATTGAAAGGTTCATCTAGTAAGTCACGATGAATGAAGAAAAAACTCAGATCAACATATGTTTTGCAATTTCAGAACTCCAAGGATAAATAGTCCAAAAGCTTACAGAGAAAAATAATAGGTCACACAAAAACACAGAATGGAGTCAGTTTTCTTAACAGCAGCATTAAATACTTGAAAACGATGACGCAATGCCTTCAATATTCTTAGAGAAATATATTTTCAACCTAGAATTTTATATTCAAATGTGAAAGCAGACTAAACATTTTCAAAATGCAAGAAATTGAGAAAAATCACCTCCTATGCACTCCTTGTTTGGAAATTACTTGTGGATTTCCTACAACAGAACAAGGGGATAAACAAAGAGTGACCATGGGATCTAGAAGGTAGTAGAGCAGCCAAGGATAGCCATGCAAACAGCCCAAATTGCAATAAGTGGATGCAAGTTTCTCAAAGAAAAAGTATACAGAAAATGGAGAACTCGGCCGTGCGCAGTGGCTCACGCCTTTAATCCCAGCACTTTGGGAGGCCGAGGCGAGCGGATCACGAGGTCAGGAGATAAGACCATCCTGGCTAACATGGTGAAACTCCATCTCTGCTAAAAAAAAAAATACAAAAAAATCAGCCGGGCGTGGTGGCGGGCGCCTGTGGTCCCAGCTACTCGGGAGGCTGAGGCAGGAGAATGGTGTGAACCCGGGAGGCGGAGCTTGCAGTGAGCCGAGACGGCGCCACTGCACTCCAGCCTGGGCGACAGAGCAAGACTCCGTCTCAAGAAAAAAAAAAAACAAAATGGAGAACTCATTAGAAGACCTAATTTTTCAAACTACAGTTAAAAAAAAAAAAAAAAGCATTTTTTCATATTGCAGAAATACAATGCAAGAAAAAATAAAATTCATTTAGAAGCCCCTTTGTAAGTTGATTAGTCCTCCAAAGATGTCCACATCCTAATTCCTGAAACCTGTGAATGTTACCTTGTAGATGCAGGTGTGATTAAGTTAAACATCTTGAGATGGAGAGGTTATTTTGTATTAGCTGTGTGGGCCTAATATAATCACAAGGGTCCTCATAAGGGAGAGACAGGAGTGTCAGGGACAGGAGAAGGCAATGTGACAATGGAAGCAGAGAGAGAGAGAAAGGCTGGAAGATTTTATTAGGCTACTGGCTCTGAAGAGAGGAGAGGAAGCCAAGAGCTAAACTATGCAGGTGGCATTTAGGAGCTAGGAAATTCAAGGAAACAGATTCTCCCCTAAAGCATCTAGGAAGAATGCAACCCTGCCAATACCTTCACTTCAGGACTGCTAATCTCCAAATTTTAAGAGAATAAATCTGTATTACTTAAGCTACTAAATTTGTGGTAAACTTTCACAGCAGCCACAGGAAACTAATACATCCCATGGAAAGAGACATCATGTGAAAGACAAGGTAACAGAAGCACCACACTCATGAGAAGCTAATGCCTGATGATCTGAGGTGGAACAGTTTCATGACAAAACCCTCCCCCTGCCCCCCGACCCTCCGTGGAAAAACTGTTTTCCACGAAACCAGTCCCTGGTGCCAAAAAGTTTGGGAATTGCTGGCATAAGTGACCCCAACTGGTCTAACATGGGGCAGAAGAACTGCCCAGTTAATCCAAAAAATGTAAAAATAATAATACCTGAAATTCCACTTGCAGTCAAGATAATCGGCACCAGATTTACTCTCCCACCTGAAACAACTAAAAAACTGGATAACCCACGTGATGTGAACCAATGATGGTCAGACAATGGACAACAAGGAACACAGGACAATGATCCCTAAGTGAGGAGAAGGCCTGTAATTGTCTCAGCTTACTGCCTGGAGAGTTTCCAGGTGATGATGCAGGGTGGGGAGAACGGGGGTGAGGAGTGATCCCAGACTAAGCATGGGTACAGATTAGAGGCATAAAATGGGAGTGATGGGACACAGCTCTTTAGAAAGCTATCTGAAGAGATTCAAATTTGGAAATGCCCTCACCTCCCAACCCCCTCCTCAACTGAAACATTCTATATTCATCCAGCCTTAGGATACTTTTAAGACCTGTTGGCATCAGCACTACCTGCAACTATTCTTATATCCTGCTTTCTTGTTACATTGCTCACCATATCTATCTCGTTATCTAATATGATGCCCCTTCTTTTATGCATATCCTGGCATAAATCACAGTATCTATGAGTTTAAAATAAATGTCAAAACTGTGGGGAAAAAATAAGTTATATGCAACAGGGATTCATACAAGACCAGGATCATCTTGTAAGACCAGTAGTTGGCCTGGACATGTAGTTGAGATAGCGATGAAGTGCAAATATGGCATGGTTACATAACAGACAAGCAAGGCAGAAGAGCTGTTATAGGCTACCACCTACAGGACACATATGGGAAAACAGCCTTACCTTTGCTCTATCAGACCATCCAAAGGACTGTACAGTCACATCTAATCGTTTCATTAACATTCGCCGGCGGCACTCATATTCACAGGAAAGAGCATCATTTATTCTTTCAAGTTGTTCCTTAAAAATTTGGAGACAAAAATAATAAACTTTAGATTCTTTCATTCTGCAAAGAAAAGAAATCTGAAAACTGTGCTAAGTACTTCCTACTGAGTCAAAAGATATTGTACTTACTCACCATTTTCTGTTCCCATGAGACTTTACAGTAAATTATTTAAATACTAAAGCATAACCAAAAGAACATTTATGATATCCAGAAGACATTAAACATACAAATTAAATTCCACCTGTTGACAGAGTAAACCTTATCTGTAATCAAATATGTTAATTTAAGTAAAACATTTACCTGCTAAGCACTCTGGACCAATAAGAAAAGAAAATACCAATAACTCATCTTGCTGGCTTTGAGCCTCTGTTCTTTTCAGATCACAGCTGTGCTAGCACATTGAGCATTATAAATATTCTCAACCAGGTATTTTTAAAAAGTAATTAGTAATTTAACTAAAGAAATGTTAGGAAATATTACTCCAGAAGATCAATCAATTTTAACTCTACAAAATAATATACACATACTATATATTGCAAAATAGATGTTCATTTATAAAATTAAGTCATATTTACTAATTTAATTACATAAAATTAATAACAAAAAGGGGGATTTACCGCCTGTTCTGAAGTTAAATCAATTTTCAGCAGTGGTTTTCCCACATGATTTTTCTGGACCTTTGAGAGAATATCTTTCACCTAAAAGTAAATATGAAAGATTGTGAAAAATGTATATTCCTAATTTAAAACAATCTTATGCTTGTTTAAAGTATTGCTCTGAACACTACAGAATAGTGACATAATTAAAAAGTGACATAATTAAAATATACCATCACACACCAGAATACCACTACAAAACAGAGTATCTTTTTCAAAAAAGCACATTATATTTATTCAAGCTATAGAACACATTCTTTCCCAGCATAAGAATGAACATACCCAGACAGTTAAAGAAGTACCTAGGTTCTACTATGAGAATCTGTGTCTTAGTTACTACTTAAGATAGCACTTTCCTACTTCCTAGTACATTTTCAAAAGGTATACTAAAACCTTTCACCAGCACATTGATTTTTCTCAAATAAATGCTATGATACATTCCAGTTGTAAGTATTCTCATCCATTGTTCAGCAAGACAACATAAGGGAACAAGCCATCTATCTCAATTACGGTCATCATGTACATATTTTCATTACTTGTGCAAAGCCCCTAATTTAAATTACTTGAAACATTTTTATTTTGATAAACAAGATATTAGGCATTTACTTTTCCTTTAGCAATATCAGGGTCATTCAGTAATTTATCCTCCTAACTAAAGGATTAATTTACCTTCCTGACTGGAGAATCCATCATTAGCTAAAGAAAATATTTACAAAACCAAACGAAATATTTACAATTTTTTTCAAATCAAGGGCAGTTCAGATTTTGAGGAGCATGAAGCTTATTTAATGTTGGGGGCAATCTTTAAGGAAAGAATTCAAAATTAGCTTGGAGGCTGGAGTTGCAATGTGGAGTAACTGTAAATGGGCACAGTGGAGATTTCTTCTGAGGGTGATGGAAAAGCTCTAAATTAAAGAGTTTGGTGATGGTTGTTCAACTCTGTAAATATACGAAAATGCACTGAACTATATATATATAGTTATATATATATATACTCAAAATGGGCAAATTTTATGGCATGATTACATTTCAAAAATGGTGTTTTTAAAAAATTAGCTTAGAAAGAACCTACGCAAATAAGAGACTCCAAAACTTCAGCTTTAGCAGCTTCACAGCAAATCTACATCTACAATGATACAATTTCTGTACTGATACATTTTTTACATATTTTAAAGAAATTATTATTTTCTTAAAACGGACCATTTCTGTAGATTCTCCAACTATTGTAAATATCTCCAATTTTAGGTTTTTTCATACATTATAAAAAGTATGAGTTGTAACTCCTCACTCCAGAGGAATTCCCAATGTATACTTGTAGTTTGTTATGTGTAATCATATTCAGCTCCATTCCTAGGATTCCAACATTACGTAACAGTTTTAATAAATCTGAAAAATCACTTGTTATAGAGTAAGTTAAGGGCACAGGCTGTGAAGGTTGACTACCTGGGTTTAAACCTCAGGTCTACCACCATTTAGAAATTCGCTTGTTTAACTTATTAAATCTTTCAGTACCTCAGTTTCCTCGCATGGTTGTCTAGGTAATACTACACAGGGGTGATGTATTACCCATAACCTTGGGTGATATGAGAATTGAGTTATTACATATAAACATTTATTCACATGGGTGATGTTAGTATTAAGTGAGTTATTACATGTAAACATTTAGAAAAGTGAATGCTATATATTTGCTGTTATTATACCACCACTATATATTTGTTGTAATTATACCACTATAATTACACATTTGAACAACTTTAAGTTAGAAAATAATACTTTCCTTCCCCAGTGATAACAAAGTGTCTTCTGGACAAATCACATGTAGAAGCAAGAAAACATGAAAACTTTTACTTTTGGTTAAAAACTGAATAGAGTAGGAAGACCTTTTAAAGAAGTATTTAGCCAAGATGGTCATAGTAACAACTGCCTTATAATTAGTATGCCAGTATTTGAACCTAGGCATTACAGACTGCTTCCAAGTAGGGAAAGGAGGTAATTGAGAATGTTGTTAATACTAAATAAAACCCATAAAAAGGAATAGCCACTTTGAGAAGCACTAGAAAATTATGATGAGCTCAGAAATCTGTCTAATTTGAAATAGTCCCAGAAAATTTAGTAAACCCCAGATCAGTCTTCATCCAGAGGAAAACAGAAAAAAATTCTGAAGAGTAACTTGTTAACTCTCTAAGAATGTTTTTGAGCTGAGATTCACAGACTTAGTCTCTGGTTTGCAAGTTCTACCAAACAAATTTTTTTCAGTATTCTGTTTTTATCTTAATGACACTATAATTCTCTTACATTCATTAAGACAAACCTTATTTTTCAGTTCATAAATTATCAATGCAAAAGAGATCTTTACTGAACAAGGATTTAGTTTAAGGCACTGTGTCTAAAAATGGAGTTATGTACTTATTCTTGAAGGTTAGGCAAGAATTTTATTTTCCTTTAAAATGAATCCTGTATTATTCCCCTAGAGGACTGCATATTTAACAAATGAAACCCAGGAACTAGGCCAGAATTTGGTCTGTGAGAGTAGCATCCTCTCTAATATACGGCTTGACTGCGAACAAGAGTTGTTCACTAATGGAAAAAAAAAAAAAAAAAGCCAAAGTGCATAAGGTACATAGTTTGTAGTTGTTTTTAACTATTCCCATCAGGGTCCTAATTAATACATTCTTCCATTCATTATATAATGCATTTACTCTTACTAAACATTTATCCACCAAAAACTGTGCATGCTCACTGCTAAAGAAACCACACTGCAATTCTATTAACATCCATTTTTTTAAAAGTTTACTCTCCTTTGACTTTGTAGGATAACTCTACTTCTTTCTTCCTTTTCTCTTTCTCTTCTCTCTCTCTCTTTCCTTTCTTTCTTTCTTATACTACATTACAACCCTGGTTAGGAAAGTGATCCTTTGCTAAGTGATTTCTATCATGTTAAACTCTGGCAAAGATGAAGCATTAAGATTTGATTCCTGAATATTAGCTACTGACAAATTAGGTCACAGGCCTGTTAGGTCTGAATCCAAAACTGGGTTAACATGAAGATAAACTCTTGAAATAAAATGCATGCCGCATAATTATAGGGAATAGTTTCATTTTTAATATAGCACTTACATGTTAGCATTCAGTTGAATTTGGGGGAAAATAAAACAAGATAATACCTTTGATTCCACTTGGTTTAGCATATGCGGAATGTCAGAAGTTGTTGACTTGGGTATACCAAGTGTATCAAACATAGCTTGAACTTCCTGATAAATGTCACTATTTTTATCTAATTGAGAATTTTTATGTTTCTTGTTCTGTAGTATCTGTGAAGCTTGAAGTTCTGTACTTAAAAATACTAGAATAAAGAGAAAATAAATAATGTTAATACATGCATAAGAATCTCTTAAAATATTTCACTGAAATTATTTATTCACTTAAAACAAGTATCAATTAATACCAATAATGCCAACTTACAAAGATCTAAAGAATACCAATAGCTGTAGAACACTGTAAACTTATAAATGAAATGATTCCCTAGTCCATAGCATTACTTTCTTTTTTTTTAATGAAATGAGAAAAAACAACTAAAGCTATATAAAATAGACACCCTATTAAAATGCATTTACACTGTACTTTAAATGGTTGATTCTTTTCACACTGGAGGAGCCCTAGTAGCTCCTACTGGAGTTAAGCAGGCAAAGATCCAGGCCCCACAAAACAGCAGCTTAACTTTCATCTACTTTACCTATAGAGGTTTAACCTAAGACTTAGTTTGAAACAGATGAATGGGTACAGAAAAAAGGGCACTAGAAGCGAAAAACTAAAATGAATTTATTTAATACTACCAGGAAAAAGAGAAATGGTTTATTTTATTCTCTTTGATTTCACACTAGCTGGTTTCAGTTCCATTTTAATTAACATATTAAATGATCTAGATTGCTATTTCAATAAGTACATGTTTACCAAGGACCTGTTCTGAGCCAGGAACGGTGTGAACAATGGGGATGCCAAGTCAAGGAAGATATGATGCCTACCCTCAAAGAGTATAAAATCTAGTAGTTGAGACCCACCACCAAATCAATAATTTAAGAACAGGTAAGAATGTGTAAGACTCTGGTAAATTATTCTGTCTCATATGTACAGAGCACACAGGTCAGGGGAGAACATATAGCTCTAACTTTAACTGATCTATAAGCACATAGAGCAATTTGAGTCAGGATAGAACACCCCAAACTGTTTACAAGTCCCTTTACTTTCACCGTTTCATCTAATCCTTTCAACAGCCATATTTAAGAAAATTACTCAAAAATCTTAAACGGTTATAGTCTTGTTTTAAAGAGACTCTTCACTACAGTAGGTAAGACTTTGTTTTTGGCTGGGCATGGTGGCTCACACCTATAATCCCAGCACTCAGATCACCTGAGGTTAGGAGTTCAAAACGAGCCTGGCCAACATGGTAAAATCCCGACTCTACTAAAAGTACAAAAATTAGCCAAGCGTGGTGGCACACACCTATAGGCCCAGCTACTACAGAGGCTGAGGCAGGAGAATTGCTGGAACCCAGAGGTGAAGGCTGCACTGAGCCAAGATCTTGCTATTGCACTCCAGCCTGGGTGACAGAGCAGATTCCGTCTAAAAATAAATAAATAAATAAAAATTCTTTGTTCTTATTTGTTTAGTTAAAATTAGACATAAACGCCACAATTTAATATAGCAGTTTTAACTTCAGCTGAACAGAAAATACACCTGAAAAACAATTTAAAAGTACAGGTGCCAGGGTCCCATTCTCTGAGATTCTGAACAGTAGATCCAGAAGCAGGAGTTGGGCATCTGTGTGTGGTTTGTTTTAGACCCAGTGTGATTGTCAAGGACAGGCAAGATTGATAGTCACTGGCTTAAAGACTTTTCCACACAGTCTACACATGACAGTTTAAAGAGTCAAATACCAAAATATTAAGATTATTAAACTTTAAGACCAATATTAAACTTTCTTTATGAGGACTATACTAAGGTCCTTTTGACTTAAAAACTTCATTAAGACCAGGTATGGTGGCTCAGGCCTGTAATCCCAGTATTTTGGGAGGCTAAGGTGGGAGGACAGCTTGGGCGCAGGAGTTTAAGACCCACCTGGGCAACACAGACCCCATCTTTACAAAAGATTTTTTAAAAATTAGCTAGGCATGGTGGTGTATGCCTGTAGTCCCAGCCATGCAGGCTGAGGGAAGAGGATTGCTTAAGCTCCAGAGTTTGCAGGGGACCAGTGAGCTACAATCACACCATTGCACTGCAGCCTGGGCGACACAGTGAGACCCCACCTTATAATAAAAACTTGATTAAAACAGATTATCAGTTTTTCAAAAATTTATATTTTAGACAGAACTTTGGCTGAAGTCTATTGTTGCTGTATAGAAACATGCATTCCCTATGTAAGAGTACAGACAAGAGTCTAGCATTTACGATGCTAATCCATGCAGATAGTAAGCAGTGTAGGGAAAAGTAAGCCTTCTTCCTTTTGCTGAACCTTAGATTCCCCCTCCCCAGAGGCAATCACCATTAATTTCTTGGGTACCCTTTTAGGCATGTGTGTGTATAGGTATTCAAGATACACAGTAGCCATCTACGTGCTTTTCTTTTATATAAACAAGAACATGCTATACATGTTCTGTGTGTGTGTGTGTGTGTGTGTGTGTGTGTGTATATATATATTTTTTTTTTTTTTTTTTGAGACGGAGTCTTGCGCTGTTGCCCAGGCTGGAGTGCAGTGGCGCGATCTCGGCTCACTGCAAGCTCCGCCTCCCGGGTTCATGCCATTCTCCTGCCTCAGCCTCCCAAGTAGCTGGGACTACAGGCGCCCACCACCACGCCCGGCTAATTTTTTTTTTGTATTTTTAGTAGAGACGGGGTTTCACCGTGCTAGCCAGGATGGTCTCGATCTCCTGACCTCGTGATCTGCCTGCCTCGGCCTCCCAAAGTGCTGGGATTACAGGCGTGAGCCACTGCGCTCGGCCATGTTCTGTATATTTATTTTGTATTTACCAACATATCTTAGAGATCATTCCATATCAGCACATTTGATTTATCTGCATTCTTCCTGTTACCTATCTAGTGACATCACTGCATTAATGTACCATTTCTATTTATCTATATTTATGGACACTCAGGTTTCTGGTCTTTTTGCTACTACAATGTCACAATGAACATGGTTTTCTTTTATCTTTGTACACTTGGGGAAATAGATATATATTCATAGACAAAGAATTGCCAAGTCAAAAGAATTGCCAAGTCCAAAGGCCTAGTGATTTTTAATGTGACACTGAAAATGTGTCCTCCTAAGAGGCTTTACAAGCTATTCTCCCACCACAGTCTAACATCTGTAGTATACGAAAAGGCTTACTCCCCCAAACTTCTATTATGATTTTTTGAGTGAAAAATGGTATCCTGTCATAAGTGATATTGTGCATCTTGTCATGCTTAGAAGCAGTTAAAAAATTTTTTCTGTAGAATGCATGTTCATGTCTTATGTATTTTACATATTTTCTCAGTGAATTTTTATCTTTTTTGTCTTGATTTATAAAAGCTCTTTACATGGTACAGAATTTGGCCCTTTTTATTTTATACATGTTGCAAACACTTTCAAAAAGAACACAAAGAAGCTTATTATATCAATATGATTAAAAGAGTTGAACTGAAGAAAGAATAGATGCTGGTAAGACTGTGAACTGGTATAACCTTTCTGGAGCAAAATATGGCAATATACATCTAGACCAGAGACTACTTTAAATGTTCATAATCTTTGTCTAAGTAAGCAAAAATATAAACAAGGAAATCATTTCAAAATAGAAAAAAATCCAAATACCTCCAAATTTGAAATCTATTACACATAACGTTATGTCAATAGCAGAGCCAATTTATTTTTTCAAAAAAAAGTGATAGGGAAATAAAGAGATAAACAATATGTCAAATGAAGAGGAGAAAAAAAGCTGTAACAGGATCTTTATCTTATTTAAGAGTGAGTGAGAGTGTGAGAGTATGTGTGTATGTACACAGAAGACAAAGACACAATATTCTCTCTAAGGAGTGAAATTATAAATGCTTTTATGTTTTATGTATTTTCTAAGATTTCTATAAGCATGTAATTTTTGAACATATAAAATTTACCATTTTAATCATTTTTATGTATACAGTTCTATGACATCACCATCCATCTTCAGAACGTTTTCATCTTCCCCACTGAAACTCTGTACCCATTAAACACTAACTCCTCATCACCGCCCTCCTGAGCATGTTATTTTTATAATCAGAAAAAATGATATACTTCTCTTAAATCTCTTCTTTATTCCTAGTTGTACCAGAAACCTGTATCACTACAATTGCTAAGCTTCTTAGCAGCTAAGGAAAAAAGGGAACCATGATGGATTACAGAATTCTCATTGACTGATATTAAGGATATGCAAGTTCCTCTAGTCGGTGCTGCTTAGGTTCCTTTCTGTTCCAAAATACCTAAGAGTTACTGTGATCTCCCATTAACAGTGGTTCATTAAATCAATGACTCGCACCAAATGGGAGGAAGATGGAGAACGGTGTATTGGGATGGAGAGAGAGGGCATATAATTTTTATCCCCACTCAACACATACAAGGTAATTTCAATGCCAATACTTTTAACACCACTAAACACACACACACACACACACACACACACACACACACACACACACACACATTTCATCTCCAATGAAACAAACTTTATTAAAACACTAGCACCTAGGAGGAATATGTCACATGTAATCTTTTTATAAATGGTATAATCTGAAAGAGAAATCTTCAATAATAAAAGGTATTAGATTAGTCAATGTTTGTAGAACTTTAAAAACATTATAAAATTAACCTAAAGTAAAAAAATGATGAAAGAACCCAATACAAAAATGGACCTACTATTTATGGCAATTATTTGAATACAGTATGATCTATATTCCAAATCCCTCCCTGATGAAACTGGTCACATATAAGTGTCCTAAAGGCACAAATTTTATCTTTTTTAAAAAAAAAAAAAAAGCAAACAAACAACCCTCATATATCTCTAGTATCCAGAGCAGTTCCTGGTACAAGAGTAAGTGATCAACAATTTTTTTTTTAACAAATTATCATCCAGTGCCTAGTTTCAGAGAGCTTTAAGATTAAATAGGACCTTGGAGATCATCAACTTTAGCCACATAGTCAGGAATAATAATAACAGACAGAATGAGATAAAGAAAAAATTACTAAAGTACTATATAAATCACAAACACAGGACATTCTACATTGGCCAAATAAATCCCAAGTGTTAGAAGGTATACTGGTAAAATTCATACTATATTATGTAAACATTTCTGAGATAGCTTTGTATTTTAAGTAAAATATTAAAACCTTTTTAATATACAAAATGTCTAATGCTTCATTAATAAATCTTGACTTGAAAATAATAAAAACCATATCAAACACATGCATTTAAATGTTCAACATAACTTACATAGAAGTTTCAAACAGTCCTCCTTCTTTTTTAAACGATCTTTAATATCTCCTGATATGAGTACAGAATATGGACATGCCATTTCTTTTAAAAAGCCACTTATCTCAAGCTGGAAGCTCTCTAGATCATCTCTTCCTTTAAAAAAGAAAAATTATAAAACATTTACTGAGCATTTACCATATAATCCAATGCTATAAAATCTACTCGTTTATTTCCATTTTACATTCAATTCTAAATTTTCACATTAAATCCTTAAATGTGTGATCACGAAGCTTATGTTAACAACTGAAATAGTAAAAGCATTATTATGGCTATAATTATTAATTCACTTCAGAGCAAATGATCCATTTCTACTGTATTTCTATATATTCAGAAAAATAAATTCAACCATTTAACCCTCAGTGCCTATCTTTATTTCATAATGTAATTACGTGGGTGGTCGTATTATATGTTTAGCATTCAACTTATTTTACTTTGCGTCAAGTGAACTGTTAGATCTGGCAAGGAAAAAACAACTGAAAAGTAAGGATAAGCTGGGTGCGGTAGCCCATATCTGCAGTTTCAACTACTCAGGAGGTTGGGGTGAGAGAATTGCTTAAGCCCAGGAGTTCAAGTGCAGTCTGGGCAACATAACAAGACCCCATCTCTTAAGAAAAAAAGGGATACCTTTCAAAGAAAAAGCTAGTTTTGTGAATGCACAATTTTTAATTTTTCTTTTTATTATACTATTAATATCCGAAATTCTACCAAAGACCCACAGGACTCCAGTTACTAAGATGGTGATGAACTAAAGAAGCTTTACGAGCTAGTACAGATGTTTTTAATAGAGGTATTCCTATGTGAATACATATCCTGAGCTACAAGCTTCGGAACACAAATTAGGAATTACATATATATATATAGTATTTTAAGCCTTAATTCAACATGAGCACCATTCAAAAACTAAACTTTTAAATAATCAAATTCAGACCCTACTTTTTCTAAAAAACTATACTAAGGTTTAGACAGCAGATATCAGAGTTGTCAGGAAGAGAAAAAAATAGCAGATAAACAGGAATTGCTTATAGTTTTATAGCAAATTTAAGTATCAATTTTGGATTAATATAAAATTTAATCCAAACATGTTTACTACCACATACTGAAATTCTTTGGAATACGTGATTTTTCTTTGTACAATGGGCACATTATTGATAAAACTATAAACCATAAGTTATCAGTTTATTTTACTATTAAACAGAAAAGTACATAAAACATAATGGCAATACCAGCAGACGTGATACTTTCTTCCAAGTTGCATAATGATTTTATTTGAGAGCCTAACCAAATACAGAGCTCTGAAAATTCAGGTGAAGATAATCCACCCTCTGCTGCCTTCGTAAGGGCTTGCTCTTCTAACAATGGTCCTTTATACCTAGAAAGGAAGAAATACCAGTTAAAAACTAAAGAAGCCAATCAAACAAAAAAGCTTTCAATACTCTGTGTCAAGGTCTGCTGCTTGTTTTAGTAAATAAAATGTTATTGGAACACAGCCATTAATGTATTAATCCACAAATTAGCTATGGCTGTTTCCACACTACAATGGAAGAGCTAAGTAGTTGTAACTGAAAATGACCACTACATGGCCTTTTAAAGAAATGGTTTGCTGATTCCTGCTCTATATAATTAACATTTAGCTTTTTTCCTACATTTTAACATTCCATAGTAAAATTATCTACCAATTTTAAGATAAATTCCACAGATATCACAAAGTCAAATACAGCATAAAGTCTAATAACCTTACATTAATTACAATAAAAGTGTGGTGGAAAAAAGCACAGATACAAATTACAAATTTAAAAAAGCTAAAGTTGAAAAGAACCTATTAGATCATTTTAATCTAAACCTTTTATTTTATATTATTTTATTTATTTACTTATTTGTTTATTTTTGAGACAGGGTCTCACTCTGTCACCCTGGCGGGAGTGTAGTGACACAATCTGAGCTCACTGCAATCTCTGCCTTCTGGGTTCAAGGGATTCTCATGCCTCAGCCACCAGAGTAGCTAGGATTATGGGCACCCGCCACCACACACAGCTAATGTTTGTATTTTTAGTAGAAAGGAGGTTTAGCCATGTTGGCCAGGCTCTCCTGAGCTCAAGCAATCCACCCACCTCAGCCTCCCAAAGTGCTGGGATTACAGGTGTGAACCACCGTGACTGGCCTCATTTATTTATAATTTTACACTTTTAAACATTTCTGCAAGTTGTATTTCACAAGAATCTTAAATTTTCAAAACACTTTATATACTATCTTAACTAAATTAGATGATCAGTTTTCTACTTTTATGGTTCTTTTTGTAACTGAACTTTTGTTAACATTATAAACTCATAGATAATATATTTGATGTGTTTTCATCCATTACAGTTATTATTCTTTTGATACTCAAATTCTTCTATGTCTGATTTGTAGTAGCCCATTTACATAGGCCAGTGGAGCCCTTTGTCTTGTCCCCCGTACTCTCTGAATACTTTCCTTGCTTTCTACAACATCATCTTCCTGCCTTAGACTTGGAATCAGGCATTTCTCGAAGGAGCCCCGATTCTTTTAATGGTATTTAGAGTACATAATCTGGTACCAAAGGTTGGGCACTGTTTCTATGCCTTTTTCAGAGAAACTATATTAGGAGTTCATATTGCTATTTCCAACTGGCATTTAGAATTGTAGGGGTTTTACTTATTTTGTTTTACATTTTTATCTTCTCTTACAATAACAAATCTTGTTTTAATTAACATTTACAAATTCCCAATATATATTAAAATAGGTATAAATTACATATGGCTTCAGAATAGGAAATCTAGCTTACTACCAACAATAAAATTACAGTTTAATTTTTTTATATTTACAATGTATTCCTGTAAGGATATAGAGAAAAACCATTCCCATGTGATTAAACCACCTACTTGATACATCAATAGACATCTGTTTTGTTCAGCTTTTAATTTATAGGGATTTGTTTCTTTTTATTGCACTTTTGTCTTATAATTATGTAAAACATTAATGCAGTTTCAAAGCCTAACTTAAAAAACAAAGTACTTCAGAAAAATCTAGTTTGCAATTTTAATCTTGTATCCTCTACTCTGTTCCCTCCCTCCCCTCCAGGTGACCATATTTATTAGTTTGGGATTGTCCTTCCATCATGTTTTTCAACATAAATATATGCATTTTTGTCTCCTCTTTCAGATAAAAGGTAGCCTACTATATACTGTTCTAGTCCTTGCTTTAAACACATACATGCTCACACACACATACATTTACATTAGTAGAGATCAGTATTTAGAGATATTATTCAACCATTTTTTACAGTTATATACTACCCCACTGTCTGGATGCACCATATTTTATTTAATCAGCATCTACTAAAGGACACTTGGACTGTTTCCAGTGTTTTATTAATATAGTTCAGCAAATTTTTGTCAGTTTATATCTAGGATAGATTCCTAGAGGTGAGGCTGTTGGGTCAAAGGGTAAACAGATACATAACTTTGCTAGATACTATGAAATTCTCCTGTAGAGGGGTTGTACCATCAAGGCATCAGAGTACCCACTCCCTCATCATTCACCAAAGTTGTCAAACTTTTGGGGTTTTGACCATCTGGTAACTCAGTATAGTTTTATCTACATTTCTCTTATGAGCAAGACATAGGGCATCTTTGCATATGTTTAAAGGCCACTTGCATTTCTTTTTCTTTGAATTCTCTGGTTATATCAGATGAAGGGTGAGTACAGGTATTTTCAAATCCTCATTTTGTAGGTAAAGAAACTAAGACTTCATGACATTAGGAAACCTGCCTTTATGTAGCAGGCCAGGCACAGTGCTAGGCATGCATATATATATATATGTTTCATTTAATCTTTACAGCAATGCTTTAAGTTAGCATTATCCTAATTGTGTAGAATCAGAAGATGGCACTAGCATTTAAATCCACGTTTAACCCAAATGCTCCATCGTTACCATAGGTCTTGTTAGACCTCTATCTACAACTATAAGGAAACTAAGGAAAAAACCTGGTCCAGCTGATACAGCCAAGTAAAGGCAGAGCTGAGACTAGAACATTATTTCTGCACCCCCAGCTCAAGGCTGGTTCTTCTATGACTCAGCCTTCCTCCATGTCTTACAATGCCTCTCAATGAGATTTCATAGTAAACATCTTAGATTCTCTTACTTGCTTTCATTTCTGCAATAAAGCAATACTCATAAACTCTTGAAAGAATTTAACTAATTCATATTGGTGTAAGTTTTTTTTTTAACTGAAATGTCAATAATAAAAACCAACAAAAACTGGTCAAATCACAAAAAATTCTGAATTTGGAAAAAAGATCTAATCTTTTAACGCCTTAGCTCATCAGGTGAAGTAAAAATAAAAAGAGGAAAAAATAAATGCATTTAACATACCTGAACATCTAATTAACAATCAAAATCACAATAGTGGCTAACATTTATAAAGTGCTAACTGTATGTTGGGTCAGCACTAAATGATTTATATAAATTCATTTAATTGCCACAATACCCTATAAGGTAGATACGATTATTAGCTTCATTTTACAGATGAGGAAGCTCAGGACGATACAGGTAAATAATTCGTACGGGATGGCCATGATCATAGCGAACAATCGTCCCAGAACCGAGCCACACAACCTCTCTGTACAGCCCCGCACTCTTAGCCCCTATTGTTCTGTCACCATCCAGAAATGTCTTATGCAACAGAAGTGTCTCAAAATATTCTGCTAGATAACTGAGTAAGAATATGAAAGCACTTTTCTGGCTAGAACAGTGCTTCTTAAACTTTTATGTGCATAGGAATCTCCTGAGGGTCTTATTAAAATAAAGATTCTAATTCAGTAGAGCTGGAATGAAGTCTGGGATTCTGCATTTCTACTCCCCAGGTGGTGATGATGCTGCTAGTCCACAGACCTCTCTTAAGCAGCATAGTACTTATTTTTTTACTTTCATTTAAAAAAAAATCTCTCAGTATTTATCATTACTCCTTCTCCTCTTGCAGTACATGAGAAATTAGAGCATGCATTTAAGAGTCTATTTATGCTACATTTAGCAACTGTTTAGTGCTTACCACATTTATTTCATACTTGCTTTGATTTCCAACGCCATTCTGCATTTATGGAGAATAACCAAGCTCCTAGTTTGTTCTATATATTCTTAGTTAATCATCAAAGTGCTACTGTTACTCCAAACACTGAGAACATCTCCCCTAGGCCTAGGCCCTCCCGCAAAGCCTCATATCCTGGAAGCATAGTTGCTGGTCGGACATTACTTCAAGCAGGGTGATCCAAATCTTCAGTCCATTAGGGCTGCTGGTAACTCTCCTGAACAACACAACCAGGGCCTAATTTACTTTCTATTTTCATCAGCCAAGAGACAAAACAGAAGACCCTTTCTTTTCCCATCATTTACCCAACCTATTGTCTTTGCCTCTCATCCAACTCTCCACCTCTCTCTGCTTCCCAAAAAATGTCCACTATTTTCCATCCACAGCACGGCATATATTTTGCTATACTGTCCATCTCTTCTCAGAAAGATTATCCCTCTCGTTTTCACTCTGGATTCTCCATTTTGGACCCAAACTTAGAAGCCCAGAGCTGCTGCTAGGAGACTGGAGCCAGGGTACCCAGGGGAGCCCATCCCCAGGCACCCACCCTTGGTACAGGCCACCTTGCTTCCTGGCCCAGGGAGGAAAGGAGAAGGGGTATGTGAACAGCTGTGGGAGCTGGAGTCTCAAGAGTTGCAGCAAGCCCAAGCCCAGGCCCCCCTGCCTAGCCTAGACCGTGGGCTCACTGGTTTCTTCCACCCAGCCAGCCCACACCTGCAGAATTAGATGGAGCACAGTTCCATCATCACCCAGGGGCAGGTGGAAGACGCCCTGGTGCTCACCAAACAAGGCCTGGTCTCCAAGTCCTCCTTAAGAAGCCTCGTGGATATAACATCTCCAAGGCCCTTTTCTGCTATTTTCACACCCAGCATGGCCAGTCAAGCTATTCCACTGAGCTCGTGCATATAAGGAGGAAGTCAACACCACTGCTAAGTCAGATCTGCTCCAGTGTTTCCAGTACCAGTTTTATCAGATCCCAGGGACATGCCTGCTCCAAGGTAACAGAGGAAGATCAAAGGAGGATCTGTGTGGTCACTGACCTGGATGAAACTTTTGTGCATCTTTAAGCCAGCCCAGCAACAATGCTAGCTTCACAGTGCCTACAGAGATTGAGGAGACCACTCAAGCAGGTATATGTGCTCAAGAGGCCTCGCGCAAAAAGACAAATGAGAGAACTCTTTGAATGTGTTCTCTTCACTGCCAACCTGGCCAAGTATGCTGACCTGTGACAGATCTGCTGGACCAGTGTGGGTGTTCCGAGCTCACCTATTCCATGAGTCCTGTGGTTCCACCAGGGCTGCTAAGTCAGGAACCTCAGCCTCCTGGGGAGGAACCTGAGGAAAACCCTCATCCTGGACAACCTGTCTGCTTCTTACATCTTCCACCCAGAGAATGCAGTGTCTGTGCAGTCCTGGTTTGATGACATGGCAGACACTGAGTTGCTGAACCTGATCCCAGTCTTTGAGGAGCAGAGCAGAGGACGTCTACACCAGCCTCGGGTAGGTGCAGGCCTCTTAGCCTTTCCTGCTTTCAAGCAGTGGTCATCCTAGTAGGGGTCTTTCCTACACTGTGCCTTTACGGTCACCTGACAGAGTGGAAGCTGGAGCACCTCACCACATGGGCCTGGAAATAGTGAGAAGTGATTGTAAAGAGCTTTAGGACAGCTTAGATGTCAAGTAGGCAAATGCCAGACCAACAATACCCAGAGCTGCCTGCTCCCGAGTTGTTGGGTTCCCAAGATGTGTGTGTGAGTGTATGTTCTGCCATGAACTGTGGCCCCAGGATATAGTGTTTCAGTAGGGGAGAAGCTGAGTCTTGGTCTTTCAAGTCATCTCCTCTCCTGTCACCCTAAGAGCCACTGAACTCTACAGGGATGAAGACTATTGAACACTCCATTGCCAAACCATGGCCTTTCCTCAGTGTTATCAGGCCTATGCCAAGGAAAAGGGAAGGTTATGCCTTTGGGTGCTCCAGGTACACACCTTTCCAAAATCTTTCTCTAGCCAGCTGCTGCAGACAAAAATAAGACATTTCTGGGAAGATGAGGACTTGTTTCCAGGCCAGTACCCCAGCGGCCATCAGGTCTTGTGGCCCAAAAGCTACACTTGCCTCCAGGCAAGTGCCTGGCATGGGCCCTTTCTGTGTCTCCCCAAGGTTGGGTACTGAGCTCCCTTCCTCACCATCTAGCCATAGTCTTGAACCTATGGGGAAGGAGGTTCTCTTCCCACCCTGGAAGAGAACAGATTACTAATTTCTGTTCTTTTGACTCTGTTTGAAAATTCTCTTTCTTAAAAATAAAAAATAAAAAAAAAAACCTAAGATTATTATTCCTACCATCTCTAGCTTTAGTTATTTTTATTTTTGCAAATTCCTAAAGATCAGATAGTAGGGGTTTTGGCCTCCTTACTTACCAAAATAGCATCATTATCACTGCTCTCCCATTATCTTATAAATATCTCCTGTTCTCCTGAGGCACAGGCCACGCAGATTTACCACCCATTCACTTGTGGTTTTCATCTATTACCTCTTGGACACTCCCCAACATCCTCTTTGCTCAGTTTTCCTCTCCACCTCTGCTCTTGCCATTATACTGAGTTTCTTTAAAGTCTGTATGTATACCCTATCTTACACCCTGAGCTCTCAGTTTCAACCTGCACATGTCACTCAGCCCCCTCTTGCACCCTTGCCATTACCCAGAACTACTCTACATCCAAAATCACTCATCCAAACATGTGGCTCCCTGACCACAACCTCTTACTTACCCTTCCAGCTTGCTTCTTTGACCACTCACCTACAACTATTCTTTGATATCATCATTACCTCCATTCATTGATCCCTCTGCATTCTCCATATTTACCAACTTTCTCCTATCTTCACATTCTTCTGTATCCAATTTAGATTCTAAGGTGTATCATTTCATTTTGGTGCTCAATACCAAATGAAGATATTAATCTGGTGGGGCCTGGTGGCTCACACCTGTAATCCCAACACTTTGGGAAACCAAGGCAGGAGATCATTTGAGGCCAGGAGTTCAAGACTAGCCCGAGCATCATAACAAGACCCGGTGTCTAAAAATCTTTTTTAAAATAAAGAGAAATGAATCTTTGAATTTTAATATCCAATCAATTACTAAGTCCAGTAATGTAGTTCTTTCCATATCCACTGCCACTAAGCAACCATCATTTCTTTCCCAGACTATTAACTAAATTCTCCAATCCATTTTCCACCTTGCTGACAGATGTAACTTTCAAACTAGACATCTAATCACTCCCTTTTTATTTACAATTCTTCAATCGCATCCCACTGCTGTTACGATCAAGAATAAAATCCACAACACAGCCTAAAAGGGGCTGCATGCCCCAATTTTCACCTAACTCTTTAATCCAATTTCCCACCACTCTGCCCCTCACACTCTACCTTCTAACCACATTAGCCTCCTTCCAGTTCTTCCAATACAGCAAGCTCCTCCCCACTTCACAGTCTTCACATTTTCTTCTCACTGTAAGGATATCTTTGTTCCCCTTTTTCATCTATCCAACCTCAACTAGTTAACTTCTATTCACCCTTCCCATTTCAACTCAAATGTCACTTCCTCAGGAATCTATCACTAACCTCTAAGACTTCTTAGATCCTCCTGTTATATCACCCTGTTCTTTCCCTTTGACACATTTATTATAGTTTATAATTATTTTTGTGATCATGTCTGTTTCTCCACTAGATTGTAAACTCCACAGGGGCAGGAACCAAGTCTTTTTTGCTCACCACTGACTCCTCAGAATGGGGTCCAATATACAGTTGTGTTCAATAAATATTTAAAGGAAATTTCTCTCCACAGTAGTGTTTCTCAACCAAGGCTGTGAATCTTTTTAAAAATATGTACGTCTGTACTGTACCTCTTGAAGACTATGATTCGGTCAGTCTACGTTATATACCAGACTGGAACAGTTTTCATAAGTTCCACATGATTCTGATGTACTTCCAGTGGAGATCTACTATTCCACAAAATCAGAGACTGTCAGAACTGAAAGAGACTTCTAAAATCATCTGCTCCAGTCCTCTCTTCACAGATGAGAAAACTTACCGACTCCTAGCCTATCCTGTTTTCACCTGTATCACTAAATTGTCCTTTCACATAGATTTTTCCCTTCAAATGCCTCCCATTAATTTATTTTACATGACAAACTGAAGTACCTTCCCTGATATCCTAAATACCTTACAACAGAAAATGCATTATTCACCATCTACATGGATATTTGAAAACACAGCGTTGCATTACAACACATATTGTAAATAACTACTTTTTTCACATCTTATGATCATAGGAGAATTCAAACTTCAAAATTTTGCCCTCATGGTTATTCCAGGAAAAACTAATTTTGGAGGGTGTAAACTGTTTTACTTTCCATGTTGAATAATCTGAAACTATTTTCCTTGATAAAAATCAAGATTATAGCAATGAACTTTCCAAAACACTTATAATAGGAACAGTAAGTTCAAGAAGTGAAGAAAGAAGAAAAGCACTGCCTTTTCCTTTTTCATAAACCATTTATGAGATCCCAGTATTCTTACCTGAAGTACTTGGGAGCTCAAACTCTTTGGTGCCTAAATAATTCTACTAAGTATTTTCAGTTCTTGTTTTGGTTCCTTCTTAACCAAGTTAAGGGAGAACTTCCAAGGGACCTCACAGAAGTAAAAATGCCCCCTAAATAACCAATGGCACTGTTCTTTCATTGGACAAATATGTATTCACGATCTACTAACTGCAAGACTCCGTAACACTGGATCACTGCAGAGTACATATTATCAGGGTCCAGCTAAAGAAACAGTTGATAGAGGGGCAAATGCAGTTTTAGGGAAGATAAAGTGGGGTGTGGGATTGGTTCAAGCTTCATAACAACACTGCAAAGGCACAGCTTCCCCTATCAAGAAACAGCAGCACGTAGCAGGGCAAACAAATGTGCAGATGGCTCCAAGCTCTTTATTTAATGTGCACCGTATGACTCAACTATCTGGTCCTATGCTTACCGTTGTGGGCTCTCTTCTCTAAGCTGTTCTTCATTCATTTACTCATTCATTCGACCAACTATTTACTGTAAGAACTCCGTTCTAGTGTGTGGCTGGGAATACATCGGTGAATAAAATATGCAAAGCATCAGTTTTCCAGGAGCTGACTTGGGGAGGAGGAGGAATTAAATGAGAGAGAAGGAGAGTTCAAGAGACAAATGAATGGGCAGGACATCATAATTTGGGATGGGGACAACAGCTGTGTGGGAAAAAACAGGACGAGGTTGAGGGGGAGATTACTAACCACCACACTTGTTAAGTATTAACATTACTCTCACCTCCATCCTAAGAGTTCTCACAGCACCTACCACACTGCATTGTAGCCTGCAGTAGCCTGCGCGACTACGTAAGCCACGAGTAATCTGAAAACTATCTTTTTCCCTTGCCTAGAGGAAATTTACAAACGTAAATGCGTGTAAATGCACATACAAGCTAATATACACGTTGACGAAGAGATGAAATGGTTGCAAGAATGAACTCGCAATGAACTACAACACTTTCTCCGGTCAAAGTAGAAGCCATTCGCTTCAGAGCCCCAAGTAAGCCACAAGTTGTACACTGTAGGAGACAACAGTCCTCAACAGCAGCTCAGGTTCCAGCACCTCCCTCCGGGCGCCACAACTACGTCAACACAAATATCACAAATATCGCGGGCGCGGGCTCGCCCAGAAAACCGGTGCCAGAAGGGCCGCTCCGCGCCACCCCGCGGATTCCTGCAACAGAGTTCCGAGGCAAGAAGTTTGAAAGAGGGGGCCACGAACCCCAGCTCTCCGGCCCTGCTCCACCCCCTAAATAGATTTCTCTCCCGCCTCCCGCTTAACTCCGTCGGCGCCGGAGGGATCGAGGCAGGGAAGGAGGCCTGCACAGGGCCGCCCAGGCCCACAGAGGCCCAGGGGAAGTAGGTTATGCAGCCAGGCCAAGGAGAGGTTGCGTTTTCAGGAAAAAGGCGTCTCCAAAAGCACTCACCCCAGCGCCTCCAGTGTGTCCAGCACGTCTCCCTCCATCGTTGGTTCGGGACCCGGCTCCGGCCCTCTCATGTTCCTTTGGCCCAGAGCTGTTCGGCGCTCTAAGTAACCCGCCGGAAACTAGCGTCACCGCGCCAAGGTTCCGGTCCGGGTCTCGCCGGTAACTGCCTAAGAGCACAGCTGAAGAAGGGCGCAAAGGTTCCCAGCCCGGAGGCGATGGACACTTGACAGTGCCTAAAACCGCTGTGTGTAACGATAATAATTTTTTAAAAGAATAGTAGAAATAATAGTAATAAAGAGGTCTCTGGGTTGGGTCTTTTCTGTGTGTTCAAATAAATTTTAGCAAATATCGTGGTATCGAGTTGATCTCAACCTATCCGATTCCAGACCTTCTTTTAAGTAACAGAAATCTGAAATGAAATTATAATTATCTTCAGCTAAAATTAGTAATATCACATGCCTACACACATAATTTTTAAATCAATATACACGACGATGCTTCAACTTTAAGGAAACAAGGAAGGTACGTAATTTATAACAAAGTAGTATTTTTCTCCTAATGAAATGCAGAAGACCAATGAAGGGATCAGATGCTTGCATCTATCTATGTGGAAACCCCTCAAATGCATATTCAGATGATGCGCTTCATTGCTGACAAAGTATCAGTTGTATAAGCAACAAATAGCAGAGTAAGGTAGCTGATGTGGTTTTCCAAATTTGTGGCTAACTCTCCACAAAGTTCCAAACAAACAAAACATAATATACCCTCTGTGTACTATCCATGGAGAATTCAATCTCTATCTAAAGGATTTAAAATATATATTTTAGGGTTCATATGTAAAAGGTACTAAGAGTATAAGGTTAGATCATTATTAGCAGGCATGTCACCTACATGAATATTCCAGCAGAACTGTTGAAAATCCTTCAAGAAGTATAACTATTGATCCCTTGTATGGACCTGTTCCTTGCATTGCAGACTACATAGCATTGGTAGCCCCAGTCCAATAAAAACCAGTAATGCTCTCACCTTCCTAGTCAGAGTTACAAACAAAAAGCATACCCATAAATTTGTAAAACACTCAAAGGTAAGCTGTAGTAGTCCACTCTCACATTGCTATAAACATATACCTGAGACTGAGTAATTTATAAAGAAAAGGGGTTTAATTGGCACTTGGTTCCACAGGCTGTACACGAAGCACGATGCTGGCATCTGCTCCACTCCTGGGGAGGCCTCAGGAAATAGACAGTTGTGGCAGAAGGGGAAGGGGGATTGCAGCTATCACATGGCCGGAGTAGGAGGAAGAGAGAGGGTGCAGGGAGGTGCCACACACTTTTTTTTTTGACCTGTCAATTTTACTAGTCTTTGCAGACTCAGATTTTGCCTTAATTTTCTCTATTGCATTTTCTTCCTATTTCATTGGTGACTACTCTTTATTATTTTTATTTCCCTGCTTCTTTGGATTTAATTTGTTTTTCAGCTTCTTGAGATAGATACTTAAGTAATTTTTAATCTTTTTCATTTCTAATAGTCACACCTAATGCTATATATTTTCCTCTAAGAATGAGTCCTCATATGTTGAATCCTGCATGAGTTGATATGTTGTGTTTTTATTATCACTCAGTTCAAAACTCTCTAATATCCATTATAATTTCTACTTTGATGCCTGGTTATTTAGAAGTGTATTGCTTAAATTCCAATCAATTAGTTAAGGGATATTTTTAGTTTTATTTTTGATTTCTTAATTCCTTTTTTTGGTTACAATCTCATACTCAGGGAATTAATTCCTATTTTAATTCCACTTTAGTCAGAGAACATGCTCTTTATGATTTCAATTTTTAATTTGGTGAGACTTACTTTAGGATCCACTGTAGGGTTAAGTTTTACAAATTACATGTGCCCTTGAAAAATGCATATTCTGAAGTTTTGGGAGGGGTAGAGATCTATGTGTATCAATTAGGTCAAATTTATTAATTATGTTTTCCAACTCTTATTGACTTGGAATATTTTATGCCTACTGATTTTTTTTTTTTGACTGCTTGTTATATTAGTTAATGTGATTGTGGCTTTGTCTATTTCTCCTTTAAGTTGTTGGCTTTTAAAGTTTATATATTTTGAGGCTGGTTATTAAGCAAATAAACATTTAGGATTCTTATGGTTTTCTGCTGTCATGACCTTTTTATCATTATGAAATGTCCCTATTTATCTCTCTGTAATATTATAATGCTTCTTGTGTTAATAGCTATTTTTTCTGATATTAATATTGCTACCCAGCTATCTTTTGGTTTGATATTTTATCTTCCATTTTTGCCTTCTTTTAGATTTAATAAGTATTTTTCATTATTCCATTTCTCCCTTTTCTTAGTTGTTAGTTATATACTATTTCATGATTTCTTTAGTGGTTACCTAAATGATGACAATATGCAACCTTGATTTGCCACCATTAATTCGTTGTTTTACCACTGCCTGGACAATGGAAGAATATTATAGTTTTTAAACTCTCTTTGTCAGCACCTCACCCCCCGAATTATCCCTATAGTTTACATTTAAGAAGTCATTACTATTACTGTTTTGAATAGTCAATATTTATGTAGTTTCACTTACATATTTACCATTTCCAGTGGCACTCTTCATTATTTTTTGCACTATTGGGATTTTATCTGGCATCATTTTTTTTAATCTGAAGAACCCTCTTTAATATTTCTTTTGACATGGGTCTGCTGGAAACAATTTATATTAGTTTTGTTTATCTGAAAACATCTTTATTTTGCCTTCATTTCTAAGGATATTTCCACTGTGTAAAATTCTGGATTTGTGATTATTTAAAGCATATGAAAGATGTTATTCCATTATTTTCTTGCTTCCATTGCTTCTTTTGAGAAGTCAGCTTATATTATGTTAAAGTTTGATTTTTTTCTCAAACTGCTTTTAAGCTTTTCCTTCTATCTTTTGTTTTTTACTAAAATTTTCCTAAATTGTGAATTCCTTTGTGTATATCCTGGTTGGCATTAACAGTGCTCTTGGATCAGTGGTTGTTTCGTCAGGAAATTTTTAGCAGAGTCTCTTCTTGCTTCTGTCTCATTTTCTCAGTGGTCTTGTTGGAGTCCAATTATTCCATTTACTATGTTAGACTTTTTCAGTTTCTTCAAATATCTGTCGTGCTTTTTTTTTTTTTCTTTTGAGGCAGGGTCTCACTCTGTTGCCCAGGCTGGAGTGCAGTGGCCTGATTACAGCTCACCGCAGCCTCGACCTCCTGGGCTCAAGCAATCCTGATCCTCCTGCCTTAGCTTCCTCAGTAGCTAGGACTACAAGTGCATACCACCATACCTGACTAATTTTTAAATTTCTTGTAGAGATATGGTCTCGCCTTGCTTCCCAGGCTGGTCTCAAACTCCTGGACAAGTGATCCTCTCACCTCAGCCTCCCAAAGTGCTGGGATTACAGATGTGAGCCACCATGCTTGGCCAGTCATGCTTTTTTGTTTGTTCGTTTTTAGTTATTTTTCTGTGCATAACTTTTGTTATTCATTTATTTAGATTTTTTAGGAAAACCAGCAGCAGAACACTCAAGATCAACAATAATAAAGAACAGTTACCTCATTTCTATTTGATTTTTACAGAGACTTTTTGCCAAGATTACTAAGACTAGTACCTTCTATGACACCCCAACTCTGACAAGAGGCAGGAACCACTAATATACATTCTCCTCCCCCTTATTTGGAGATGAATTCAGATACATTAAACTGTAGGTAAGCCTTGTACAGCTCTAAAATATACAGTAAAAATAGTCATTATATAAATGTATGGGTGAGTTTATGATATGGTTAGGATCTGTGTCCGTGCCCAAATCTCATGTTAAATTATAATCCCCAATGTTGGAGGAGGGGCCTGGTGGGAGGTGACTGGATCATGAGGGCAGAGTTCTCATGAATGGTTTGACACCATTTCTGCCTTGGCACTGTATAGTGAGTGAGTTATCGTGAGATCTGGTTTTTTAAAAGTGTGTGGTAGATCATGAGGTCAGGAGTTTGAGACCAGCATGACCAACTTGGTGAAACCCCGTCTCTACTAAAAATACAAAAATTAGCCTGGCGTGGTTAGGCTAATTTTTTTTTTATTTGTAAAATTTTGTAAAATTTGTAAAAATTGTAAAAAAAAAAAAATTGTAAAAAATTTGTAAGATTTGTAAATATTTGTAAAAATACAAAAATTAGCCTGTAATCCCAGCTACTTGGGAGGCTGAGGCAGGAGAATCACTTGAACCCGAGAGGCAGAGGTTGCAGTGAGCTGAGATTGCGCCACTGCACTCCAGCCTGGGTGACAGTGCGAGGCTCCCTCTCAAAAGAAAAATAACCAAAAAAAGAAAAGAAATATTTGCATATTTTACAGAACATGATGATATTCTATATTATGTTGCCAACTTGGTCTTTATTAAATTAAGTTCATGAAAAAGATTCCATTAAAAAAGCCAGAATGCAAGCTACACAAATGAGAGAAAATACTTGCGATACATATATTTGACAAGGGACTCCTATTCAGATTGTGTAAAGAAATCCTTCAAATCAATTAGACAAAGACAATTCACAACAAACTCAAAGTTGGGAGAAGAAAAGTGGAAAAAAGAGTTGAATAAACATTTCACAAAAAAGAATATTCAAACAACCAAAACCTATACAAGACAGTGCTCAAGCTCATTGGCATTAGAGAAATGTAAATCCAAATAATCATGACATATTACTACATATACAGAAAGAAAGGCCTCCCTCAAAAAAAAAAAAAAGAAAAGAAAAGAAACCTTGACAATATCAAAGATTGGCAAAAATGTTAACACTGGAACTCTCATACACTGTTTTTTAATTTATTTATTTAGTTAGTTTTTTAATTTCAATTTATTTGGAATCCCAGTGGTTTTTGGTTACACGGATAAGTTCTTTAGAGGTGAATTCTCAGATTGTAGTACACCCACCACCCAAGCAGTGTATACTGTACCCAATATGTAGTCTTTTATCCCTCACTCCCTCCCAACTTTCCCCCCACCACTGCGAGTCCCCAAAGTCCATTATATCACTCTAATGCCTTTGTGTCCTCATAGCTTAGCTCCCACTTAAAAGTAAGAACATACAATATTTGATTTTCCATTCCTGAGT